ATGTGTATTTGTAAGATATGGCATTTTTTTTTATTCTTCAAAGGATTTTGAAGTATGCAGGACAGGTACTTCTTTATTATCCATTATAAGTCAGACAATGATTTTCAGATGCATTATAATGATGTGCACATTTAACACATTTAGGAATGTATACAACAGTGGGTGGATAGGTCTAACATTTTTATTACTTTAATCTTTATTTCATGATTTTTTGTTCAAATGCTTGAAGATTGTGCCAGATAATAGCTTTTCATTTTATTCTTTCTTTGTCATTGTTCTGGAGATTTCAGTTCAATAATTTATATTAAAAAACACTGTCTCTTGGTACATTTTATGATTAGAACATTTTATAGACGCTTTCGATTACGTAGAATATTTGAGACCATATATTCTAATTAAATAATCATTTTGCTAATGGATAATTCTTCCAAGTACTATGCATTATTGTAAACAATGGGAATATGAGTGTAGTATGCAAATATTTTGCACTAATAATGTGAAATATTTATTTTAAAATACGGCAATCCCAAGTTTCTTTCACTATAGACATGAGATATTTGGAAACAGCTACACTGTAATTTAACATGTAGCAGTTATAAATCAGTGAGAATTTATTAGTGCTGACCTTGTGTTATAGCCTTGCAAGGGCCATTGATTACCAATATTATTTATTGCATCATGGTCTAAGCATAATTCTTACACTTTAACAATTCTCATAGAGGATCTACACTTAAAAATAAATGTAGTTCTGAAACACTTAAGCAATGCTAATAGAAATCTGATAGTTGGATTTTATGGGCATATGACAAAGTAGGGCTCAGAAGGTACAACTTCAAATTCTAATATTCTCCTATTTTTAGAAATGCAATACCGGGGAGTCCTCACATTCATAGAACCCCAGATTCTTTTCAACAAAATGGAGAGAATTGGACCTCTGAGGGATGGTAAATATACAGAAGTGTTTCAGGGTAGTGATGTGGGAAGGGGCAGGTAGGCCAGTGGGGAGCTACACCCCAGCTGCTGCTGGGGGTTGCAAATTGTTAAAGGAGGGATGGGATGGGATCACAGCTTTCTTAGAATGACGTGGAATTGAGTGCAGTAATATCCAGCTCCCATGGTTTTCCCATGGACACCTTGTCCCAGGGTCTATTTTTAAGAATGAGGCATTAAACTGTATGTGAATGTACTTGGCAAATTAGAAAACACTCCACGAATGCAGTTATTTTGCAGTTCATCTGAGAAAAAAACTGCCATTTCCTCATACAAGATGAAGTGACAGACTTTCTCTTTTTTGAGCCTCCCACCAATCCGAAAAACAAGCCTTTATTTTGTTTTCATTAGATAAGATTTATTATACAGAAACAGGAAAAAACAGATTAAACCTATGGGTAATGTCTAGTTATTACATGAGAAAAACACAGTACCCTGAGGGGAAATAGAATTTATAGAATATGAAGAAATAATATTTGCTGGGAAAAGAAGGAAGAGAGAGTGATAAAAAGAGAGAGATTTTTCTAGATACAGTCATGTATATACACTCCCTGTCAAAACTCTAGACAGGATTCTATTTGGCATTCCTGACAGGATTTTGTCAGGAATCAAAGTTAGCCATAATGATGGAGAATTTAATTAAAATTAAGGAGTGTGTTTAGCAAGAAAGAAATAACTGTTGACCCAATCATTTTAGTCAGTTTAGTAAAAAGGTCAGACTGACTGGTATTTAGCTTTGGGTTGACACAGTCAATCCTCTATGTAGGTATTTATAGTAAGCCTGGAGGGGTTGATGAAATGTGGAGGTAATTGAAAATAAACTATAGTTTGTGGATTCTCAGGAGTTTGGGAATCTATTATTCTCTCTGTTTAGTATGGTAATAGTTAAGCATGGCCTGAGTGACTATTGCAAAATTTTAGAAGTGAAAGTATTTCTTCTCTATGAAAAAGAAAATCTTTTGAATAACGCTCACTGGCCGTAGATAGATTAACAAAGTTAATGGAGCCTTTTCCAAATAAGATACTGACTTTTGATAACACATTTTAAAGAACACTTTAATAAATATCAAAATTAAGCTTCCCATCAGAATTTGTTCACACATTAGTTGAAATAATTTTTGTGGAGATGAAAAGGAAATTAAATAAATTTTGAGTCTTTTAAACTTTTTTTACTTAGCAAAGTAACTGAGATTTTAAAAGATAGTAATATTCAATGTTGATAAGGACACTGAAATGGAAACATATTACCATTAGGGAGTATAATTTGGCAATCAACATCAAATGTTTACAAGATTTTCTTCCCTTATAAATAGGCCCCACTGCATAGTTTAAAGATATAAATACTCATAAGAATAAACTAAAATTTAATAACACAATAGGAGAGTGTTTGGGTAAATTAGTTATATTCATTTGGCAAAATAGTATACAACATTAAAAATTACATTCTGGAGCATTATCTAAAGCTGTGAAAATATCTTCATGATGCCAAATTTTCTTCATACAAAGTCAAGTAACAAAACAGCCCTTAAGAGTGTCAAGATATGGAATGTAGAATAAACAGAAATACATTGAAAATGCTGGTGGAAAGAGGGGATATTTCTGGGTAATGATTTAAAAAGGAAATTTATTGTTCTGTTTATGTTTTATTTTACTGCAACCTGTATGTTTTTCAAAGTATATTTTTTACTATTGTAATTACAAAATGAATAGCATAAAAAATTTATTCTGTGGCAGTTACCAGCTGTATGTGTCTGACCTTACTCTCCACCTTCTCTCAGTTTAGTGCTATATAGTTATTTTACTCACTTCCTAAAGGATCTTCCCCACAAACACATCCATGGAAAGAAAAAGGGCGAAGGCAGGCAATATCAGATATCTTTGTAACATACTTTACTACTTATCTACTCCACTCTTCCTTGTCTGTTTTTACTAATTTTTTTTCTCATCTCTTGTCTCTCCTTGATCAAATACTGTGCTCACATTTTATTCTGTCTCCAAGTTCTCACAGATTACTAAGGGTTTAACTCAAAGTCCGTTAAGACAAGAGGACTTTTTTCACAGGATTAAAAAAGAAAAAATCACCCTGAATAAATGTCTTAGAATATTCTTTTCACTCTCCCATTTTCCCTTAACCCCTCAGAATTTATTACTATTCTGGATGCTTTGAGAACGTATACTCTTTCCTAGTAGTTTCTAACCAGCTCCACCTGCTGGTGCTAACCTGTGTCTCTTTGTAATCTGCACCCTTGCCTCAGATAATGTGGGAGTTTTCCTCAAAACATGACTTCTTTTTCATATTTTCATATTTCTGCATCACTTAGTTCCTGGCATGAAAGGAAGTGGGGTTAGGTCTGTTTTAGAATATTTTCTTTTGGTCTTAAAATTGTTTAATTTGAGTCACATTTAATTGCTTTTAGGCAAACGGATGAAACAATCCTAGAAAATGTACCTCAGGAGAGTATGCTGAGGTTAGGGTTTAAGGGATAAGCTGCCAATAATTACCTTCCTCTTAGGCCCCTCTAAGGGTAAACTTAGCAGGAATCTACTGTTTAAGGAACAGAATATTTTATTTGGGAATTCAGCAGACACTGACTCAGATTTCGAATTATTTGGACCTCTTACGATGCTTGGCAAGCAAGTATGATCCTACACCTGTTTTTAAAAATATCAATAGAGGTAAGCCAGTTATTTTTAGGAGCTTCCTGTTCTTTCTTGAGGTCAACTGAGAAGTTCTGGCCATATTTCTGATAACTTCTCATCTAGGCAACTCCCAGGGTACTTTGTAAGCTAATCATCCCCCATACCCACTCCTGAAAGACCTGAATCAACATTAAAATATTTTTTGCCAAATTCTTTTGGGGCCAAGAAAAAGAAAAGGAAAGCAGAGAAAGTGATATGGTTTGGCTCTATGTCCCCACCCAAATTTCACCTTGAATTGTAGTAATCCCCACATGTCAAGGACAAGACCAGGTGAGGGTAATTGAGTCATGGAGGTGGTTTCCCATGCTGTTCTCAGGATAATGAGTGAGTCTCAAGAGATCAGATGGTTTTATAAGCATCTGGTATTTCCCCTGCTGGTACTCATTCTCTCTCTTGCCATGCTGTAAAGAGGTGCCTTCCTTCATGATCGTATGTTTTCTGAGGCCTCCCTAGCCATGTGGAACTGTGAGTCAATGAAGCCTCTTTTCCTTACAAATTATCCATTCTTGAGTATTTCTTCACAGCACTGTGAGAACAGACTAATATAGCAAATTGGTACCAGGAGTGGGATTCTATTATATGAATACCTGAAAATGTGGAGGCAACTTTGGAATTAAGTAACAGAAGTTGGAACCATTTGGAGGGCTCAGAAGAAGACAGGAAAATGTAGGAAAGTTTGAAATTACCTAGAGATTTGTTTAATGATTTTGACCAAAATACTGATAATGATATGGACAATGAAGTCCAGGCTGATAGGTGATGAGGAACTTGTTGGGAACTAGAATAAAGGTGACTTTTGCTATGCTTTAACAAAGAGACTGGGACATTTTGCCCCTGCCCTAGAGATCTGTGGAATTTTTGAACTTGAGAGAGATGATTTATGGTATCTGGTGGAAAAAATTTATTTCTTATTTATTTATTTTTATTTTTTACTTATTTTAATTTAATTTTTTTGAAATGGAATCTTGTTCTGTGGCCTAGGCTGGAGTACAATGGTACAATCTCAGCTCACTGCAACCTCTTACTCCCAGTTTCAAGCAATTCTCTTGCCTCAGCTTCCCAAGTAGCTGGGACTACAGATGCACACCACCACACCCAGCTAATTTTTGTATTTTTAGTAGAGACAGGGTTTCACCAATGTTGGCCAGACTGGTCTTGAACTCCTGACCTCACGCGACCCACCTGCCTTGGCCTCCCAAAGTACTGGGATTACAGGCATGAGCCACCACTCCTAGCCTGGTAGAAGAAATTTCTAGTGGCAAAGCATTCAAAAGGAAGCAGAATATAAAAGTTTGGAAAGCTTGTGGCTTGGAAATGGGATAGGAGAAAAAAATCCATTTTCTGGGGAGTAATTCAAGCCTGCTGCAGAAATTTGCATTGGTAATGAGAAGGATAATGTTAATAACCAAAACAATGCAGAAAATGTCTCTAGAGCATGTCATAGGCCTTCAAATTAGCCCCTCCCATCACAAGTTCAGAGGCCTAGAAGGGAGAAATGGTTTTGTTGGCCTTGCCCAGGTCTCCCCTGCTGCCTCCAGCCTAGGGACTTGGTATCCTGTTTCCCAGCTGTTCCAGCCATGGCTAAAAAGGGCCAAAGTACAACTTAGGCCATTGCTTCAGAGGATGCAACTCCCCAGCCTTGGCAGCTTCCATGTGATGTTGGTCCTTTGGGTGTGCATAGCACAACAATTGAGGTTTGGGAACCTTTGCCTAGATTTCAGAGAATATATGGAAATACCTGGATATTCAGGCAGAAGTTTGTCACATGGGTGGAACCCTCATGGAAAATCTCTGCTAGGGCAGGGCGGAAAAGAAATGTCAGGTCAGACAACCCAAATGCTCATCGACGATAGACTGGATAGGGAAAATGTGGCACATATACACCATGGAATATTATGCAGCCATCAAACACGAAGAGTTTGGGTCCTTTGTAGGGACATGGATGAACCTGGAAACCATCATTCTCAGCAAACTGACAGAAGAGCAGAAGATCAAACACCGCATGTTCTCACTCATAGGCGGGTGTTGAACAATGAGAACACATGGACACAGGGAGGGGAGGGGAGCACTACACACTGGGGTCAGTTGGGGGGAAATAGGGGAGGGACTGTGGGGGGTGGGAAGCTGGGGAGAGATAGCAAGGGGAGAAATGCCAGAAGTAGGTGATGGGGAGGAAGGCAGCAAATCACACTGCCACGTGTGTTCCTATACAACAATTTTGCAAGTTCTTCACATGTACCCCAAAACCTAAAAAGCAATAAAATAAATAAATGGAAAAAAAAAAAAAGAAATGTCAGGTCAGAGCCCCCAGACAGAGTCCCCATGGGGGCACTGACAAGCAGAACTATGAGAAGAGGGTCACCATCCTTCAGAACCCAGAATGGTAGATCCGCCAACAGTTTGCTTCATGCCCCTCAAAAAGCCACAGGTATTCAATGCCAGCCTGTGAAAGCAGCTGGGAGGGGGGCTGTACCCTGAAAAGCCACAGTGGTGGAGCTGCCTAAGACCATGCGAGCCCACCACTTGCATCAGTGTGACAGGCTATGGGACATAGAGTGAAAGGAGATCATTTTGGAACTTTAAGATTTAATGACTGCCCTGTTGATTTTTGGACTTTCGTGGGTCCTGTAGCTCCTTTGTTTTGGCCAATTTCTCCCATTTGGAATGGGTGTATTTACCCAATGTCTGTATCCTAAATGTATCTAGGAAGTAACTAACTTGCTTTTGATTTTACAGGTTCATAGGTGGGAAGGACTTGCCTTGTCACAGATGAGACTGTGGACTTGGACTTTTGCGTAAATGCTAGAATGAGGTAAGACTTTGAGGGACTGTTTGAAGGGTATGGTATGATTGTGTTTTGAAATGTAAGGACTTGAGATTTGGAAGGGCCCAGGATGGAGTGATATGGTTTGACTCTGTATTTCTACTCAGATCTTACCTTGAATTGTAATCATCACCATGTGTCAAAGGCAGGACCAGGTTGAGGTAATTGAATTACGGAGATAGTTTTCCCCATGCTGTTCCCGTGATAATGAGTGAGTCTCTTGAGATCTGATGGTTTTATAAGCATCTGGCATTTCCCTGCTGGCACTCATTCTCTCTCCTGCTACCCTGTGAATAGGTGCATTTTGCCATGATTGTAAGTTTTCTGAGGCCTCCCCAGCCATGAGTAACTGTGAGTCAATTAAACCTCTTCTTTGTAAATTACCCAGTCTTGGGTATTTCTTCATAGCATTATGAGAGGGGACTGATATAGTAAATGAGTGTTTTGAAGGGAACATTCAAATTTGGTAAACCGGCTGTTGTTTCTTTTAGGAGCTCATTGATAATAATCACTCATTCATTTTTAGCCTCCTTTTGCTCCATGTATTGTAGGGGCAGTTATTGGCTGTGGGCTTGATACTGTTGGCTGTATTAGCTTGTGCCTGGTGAGATAGCAAAGGGAAGGTGCCAAGAAGTTGGGAGAAAGTCTGTGTTTTCCAGTGTTTACTCTTTGATCTTACTCTTCATGTTCTCAGCTCTTGAAGGACAAAGAAGTTTGTTGTAGTCAATCCAAAGCTTCCTTCCTGGTCATTTTCCCAGAGACTTGGCCTCAAAATTTGCTCCAGACATAATTTTTTGGCATATGGTACACTTGTTCAGTGCCCCTCAGTAGAGACCTTTCAGATACACAAGTTCAACTGTTGATTCACTACAAAATTTGAAGACCATAAATTATATTGAGTCATATCTACTAGCAATTTATCAGCCTTTTTTTTGTATTCCCTCTGCCTAGAGTTATCCTAGATTTTTAATAAGAATCTCTGCAATTATGAATGCACAAAACATAAGGGAAACCAAATGCGAAGGACTGAAGATGTAACACCTGGTTACTGGCATGATCTTGTGACCAATTACTATTTCATATTTAAACTTTAGTACCTAGATTTTGTGTATTCTAACTCTATTATCACTTGGAATATTTTTATAATAAGACAGACCTTATAGCAATTGCTGATAGGCAGAAATTATTTTTGTCCTGTTCTCCAAATATTTGAAGTTGAATTCATCTTTGCTCATATGAATATGAAAAAATAAAAAGAGAAACACAAGCCCAAATTGTTGTCAAAGCCTTCCTAACAAATCTGCAGATCTCTCCCAATCTTTCCTGATTTATTAACGAAAAAAAGAGGCACCTTCTGGTGGTGGATAAATTTGTTTGAAATATTCTTGAATATTCACTAGGAATGTTACTAATGAAGTTAATCAACTCCAGATATCTTGGGACTACACATTTTATATTTATAAGGCTGATAGGGTATTGCTTTATGTCTTAGTAGGAGGTAAAACTCTCTGAAATTTTCTTAATATCATTAGGATATTTTTCTTTGCTTTATTTGATCATTTTGCACAATAGATCCTCTTGTGCTGTCATTCTGGATTTCACATCTTTTCTCCACTGCCACCTGCTTTCCTGTTGAAAACATGTATTTCCTTTAATCTCCCTTGTGTTCGGAGTGCTATTGTGTTTCATTCTGCCTTTGCTTTTAAATATTATTATCTAAAAATGTATTCAGATTTTGATTTACTCCAATTAAATTATTTTAAGGTTTTAATTTTAAAGTAGAATAATTATAGGTGTTGTCATTTATAGGGTTTATTCTATACTTGCTGGAGTGTATAGTTATCTCATTTCTTGATCCAGAGAGTTATTTTAGTGCCATTTAATATGATGCTTTTATTAAAAATACACAACTCTATTGCATATGAAAAATGTATGTGAGTAGCTGAGAAGTTGTGTAAAAGCTCAGGATGAAAACCAGAAAAATTAGCTTCATATCTGAACTCTGCTGACTGTGACCTATATACAGTGGTGTGCTGGTAAATGTTTAACAACCCATTCTCAAGCAGAAATAGTCCTTAATTTGAAGGATTTGCCAATTTCTACGTAGCATTTCTTAATCCATCATGACTAATTTTAAGCTACAAACTGGAAGTAACCCACGTGTACACAGTAGTCTTTCTCCAGCCTGTGAGAACCAGGTCTAGTATAACATCCACAGACTTTTGGGTATAACCCTTAGCTTTCTTGAGTCTTAGATTTTTCTGTGTAATATAGATGATGTTAGGATAAAATAGTCTATGATAAAGTCTTGAAATATGGTAGCTCCAATAAATTGCTTTTCTAAAATTCTCCATTAATGTAATTACCCTATTGCAAAGACATATTGTACAAATTAAATAAATGTATTACTCTCATAGAATCTTTGTTGTTGAAATTTTATCTCAATGCTGAACAATATGTCTCTGTAATATTCGGTTTCTAGTGTTTTATTCTGAAATCAACTATGCCTAAAATTAGTAAAAGTTGGAATTTCTGCAATTATGAAGCCAACCCCATTACTAAAGCAGTTTTGTGCTGCAGTAGCACTTAAATGTTTAGCATTAATTATTTAAAATTGCAGCTGAGTTTACACCCTTCCCTCTTAATTGCAGAGAGAGAAGACGACGTAAGAATCAAAGTTAGATCTAGTTTTTTGTTTATTTCCCCCATGACAACTCTGGATCCCAAAGATTTGGGAAAATAATGTAACATTTCTTAACGCTACTACTGAGGAAATTTATTTAATTGATTCATAAAGTATTTGCCACCATCTCTAATGAGTATTTTTACATTTGACTTCATATGAGCTTTTAAGTATTTTACAGAAAGATTGCATTCTCTTATTATCTTACTCTTTCAGATCAGCTTTCTCAAGTTGAGTCATTTGCTTTCCTTAGTCTTTCCTGCCCAGTGGTTCTGGTGACATGAGCATCCTCTGGCTCCAATGCACCTTTCTTCTTGACTTGACTGCAGGCTTTGATTCAATTATCTGACCCTTCTTTCCCAAAGGAAATGCTGGGGGGATAAAAGAGAGGTGACAGGAGAGTAGGTAAAACTGGTCAACAATAAATCAATCAAACAAGTACTTATCCAACACTTCCTAAGTAGCAGAGACTGTGGTGTAAGCCCATAAATTCCTCAGAGAGAGAGGAAAGGAAAGAAGTCAAGAGTAATAAAATATGGAAGAAGGAAATATTTAAGAAGTGGCTCATAGGTGTAAGATTCAAAAATAAACATTAAAATAAAGAAAGGCACAAAATATATAAAATGGCTCAAAGAAAAAGGCTTACATATTTATTTCCAGTTTACTCAAATATATGCAATATAAACAATACCCAAAGGTAAGTGTCTTGTCTGTTTAATACTGTCTTTTTATATTTTACAAGATACTGTTTCATCTTCAAAAGCTGATTAGAAATCCTGCTGCTTCAATTTATTCTCTGGGCGCTTCTCATCCACTCAAAGCTTCATTTGGAGAAATTCCATGAAATTTTAATGAAATAAATGTAATGACAACAGACATATTTCCCCACCCTAATTTTCTCCCATTCTGACATGTTAGAAGATGACTTCATGGGTATTTATTTGATGTTAAAGTTGTGGGATTTGAATTTTGAAATTTTATGTTTTTTCTTTTCATCAAATATGAAAATTAGAGGAGGCAGATGACACAACAGTTAGGAATCAAGCATCCCAACGTAGGTAGGAATCTTTTTACATTTTAACAAATTGCTCAGTCCTGCAAAGTTACAAATAGTGTTGTTTGAATTTCAAGTTTCTTGGAGATTGCTTGACCTCTTAAACTCCACCAAAGGAAATTGTTTCTATTTAGAATCCTCAAAATTCAGAGACTGTTTCATGGTACAAAATTCAGCCTTAATTTTTTTTTTCAGGCTGGAGTGCAGTGGTGCCATCTCGGCTCACTGCAACCTCTGCTTTCCCATTCAAATGATTCTCCTGCCCCAGCCTCTCAAGTAGCTGGGATTACAGGTGACTGCCACTGCACCCAGATAATTTTTGTATTTTTAGGAGAGACGGGGTTTCACCATCTTGGCCAGGCTGATCTTGAACTCCTGACCTTATGATCCACCCACCTCAGTCTCCCAAAGTGCTGAGATTACAGGCATGAGCCACGACACCCAATTTAGACTTAATTTTAGGCCAAGATGTTGGCTTTTATAAATTGGAGGATTAATTAGTGCTATGGTTGTGTAGCCAGTAAAATCTGGGAGTATGCAGTTGGTTTTCTAATAGTATTATCTATCTATTGATCTACCAATCATCTACTCATAATGGATCATTTTATTCAAGTAAAATCAAACCTAGTTGATTAAATGTATGCATTGTAATTTATATAGTGTTAATGCTTCATAAAATCTGAAACTAATTATAATTTGAATGTTTTCTTACCTATCTCACATGCTCCAGAGTTTCTACTTCCTTGATCTGATTCACGCTAACCAGCAGAATAGAAAGATATCCAATGCCTAGCTTTGGGGATTTACAGTGTATACAGACAGTGTGACACTTGAACTCAGACAGTAAGGGGTCCAAAAAGTAATTCTTCAACTTACCAGTGTATGGCTTGATAACATTACTAAAGCTCTCTGTGCCTGTTTACTCATCAATAAAATGGGATTAGTAACGTCTTTGCATGACTGATTTGAAAATAAAGATGAGCAATAAATAAGAGCAATTGCATCTCTTTCCTCATTAGTTCCTCTCTATAATTTTTTTTCTCGAAATTTCTTTTTTTATATATCAAGAAGGACAAATAGGAAAGAGGTTCCCCTGGAGTATAGTTGACATAAGGCCATGTGAGTGTTGTTAGTTCTGTCTTAAGGCTCTTCCAGCTGAGACCCTAAGACCTGTCAGAGCAAAGCTCAAATAAACACAGCTGCTTCTGTGTCCCTCCTGAGGTGGTGTGGCTGCGTGTGTCAGCCTCCCTTTTTAGTGAACAAAATGCTTTTTCAGGTACATGGCAAGGATTTTAAGATAAAAGTAGAAAATTACCAGAGTTTTCATATATTACACAGAACATTTATAAGCTGGAAAGTTAAAGCTCATGGGCAAATGGCTCCAAGCACAAGATTGAGAAGATGCTTCCATCCCAAACAGAGGCAGTGTAATTATGTGGCAGCATCCTTAATAAATGCGGTTGTGGTTCTCACCTCATTAAACTTCACGTCTATGTTCTATCAGTAGACTGGAAAGAATTTGATGATTTGCAAGCCTATGTAGAACCTGAGTGCCAAAAATCCAGCAATGACCCTCATGAGGACACAGAATTTTCACTTATTATGTGTATGCTCTGGTAATTATTTTAAGGCACTTTGTATCTATTTATAACACTCCTGCAGTGCATAGACCATTATCCTTGGCAGGGACATTGAGGACCATAACTCACCGGGTAACTAAGAGATTTGAACTGTTTGCCTCTTTTCATTGAACTATGCCATATTAATGCAACAGGCGAATGCTTAAGGATCTTTACAATTAAATCAGTGTGGTTATGAACAGAATATAAACAAATCACATTGACTTTTGTCTTAGGTCAGAGTCTGTAGGAACAGAACTTGAGATTGGAATTAAGTGCACATGATTTATTGAGGGAACGCTCTCCGGTGATTGCTATACAGCTGTAAGAAAAGAAGGCAGGTAAGACATTAAGCAAAAATGGGTAGGTCTGGGTTCTCCTACTGATCCCACAGGGAGCCCTGAAGCTTGAACAGCGCTACAGAGACAGTATCAATATGAAGCAAGAGGGTCAAATTTTGTGTCCTTTGAATGAATTCTTAGCTGTGGGTTAGCCCCAGGATGGGGCAGAGACTGGCCTCCTATTCAAGGTGGCTTCTGTTTGGTTGAGGACATTTCTGTCAAAAAAGCTCCTGTGAATTGGCATCGTGGGCTGTGTGTACCAACAGTGACCTCTGCACATCATATGTGCTGTACATCTGTATCCAAATCAGAAAATTAGCTGCTGTTTAACACATTCTTTACAACATAAAGCTACTAACCAAACTGTGGTTTCAAGTTGAGTCTCCATGTTACAAGTATAAATCTTAGGATTAATCTAAGGTCCACCCTGGTGAAAAACAGGACAGTGAAGGGTCAGTAGCAGAGCACCTACTATGTCACTCTCCAGAATTTAAGTGATTTAAATCTCACAATCAGCTTTCAGTGCCACTTTTTATGCGCGAGAACCATTTGAAAAACAACATTTGTTGCAAATGTTGGACTAATGCAAACCTCATTTTGATGACAACACCTGACCTGTACATACTTAAGTCCATGTATAAACTTTATTTTATTGAAATCATGGGAATATTTAAATGTTTTCATAAATAATTACTAATGGGTTTGATTAGTATGTACTGCCCAAGATCCCACTAGCAGTGTTATGTGATATACACAAAGTATAGATTTTGACATTATATATCTAGAATTAGTGTATACAATTATTATATAATTATCATAAAGGTTATATACTGCAGCTGTGGTCCTAAGGGTTACTTGGAAAAAATTGTATCCCTGACCCATATCACCATATGGGTAGGAGAATGGAGACTCAGAAGCTTTAGATGTTTTCTCCAAGTTTAAATAGCTAGTGAAAGAGCCTAGATTTTTAATATATCTATGTGAATACATCATCCCCAATCCTGAATCTTCCTATGTCAGAATCCAGAGATGCTAAACCAAGGCCTAATTCAGAAGAATATACTGCCTTTGCTTCCGAGAAAACAAGATGTAAAAGCACCGAATCTTGAAGGCAGAATCTCTTAGAAGTTATTGAGTAGTATGACTAACTTAATACAGGAATTTGTTTTATAACATCCAACCAGAAAACTGAGCATTTTGTACATATCCAAACTCACTCCTATATAAGGCAGACCATTTTACAATTTAGGGGACTCCAACATTTAGAAAATCCTATGTTGATTCAGAATCTATCTCCTTGTAAACTCTACTGATGGACCCTCATCCTGGTACTCAGAAATTGTAGACTACGAGTGTTTTGGTTTTTTTTTTCCCATGGTTTACCTGCAAATATGTGCATAAGTTGCAGGTTTCACATCATTATGATTTTTCTTCTTTATACTCAGTATCTCTGAAACTTTTAATATTCTAATAAACCTTTTCTGGGATATCCCTTTTACAAAGGGCTTTTCCTGGGCCTGAGGTATTCAGGGATTTTAGCATGAAATGCAGAGAGGGAAGAAGGAAGGGAGTGGGCAGAGGACTGGGGAAAAGACATTCTTAGAGCCTTGTCTCTATCGAAAACCAGTCCTTCTTCTCCTTGGAGTCCAAGAGCAAATTCAGCCACAGCTTGGGTAGGGTGAATATCAGATTTGGTCCTACTGGTAGGTTACAGAAGTGGGGGAAATCTACGTGATGGTGGTTTTATGGTTTCCTGGAGTTCATCTATTTACAGTAGTAGAATTGCATGCTTATGACCCGATGTTAGGATCAAATCCAGCCTCCCAACAGAAGTTAAGTAGAACCTCAGATCCTCATCAGTATATTTTAGCACAATTTTTGTAGTGACTCCAGGGATTTTAAAGTATATACAAGAATGTAAGCTCCTCGAATGCCGAAATTTTTTCACTCTGCAGTGTTACTAAAACCTTCAGGGATGCCCGGTATATCGTAAGCGTTATGTAAGTTTTCAACATATATATCAATGAATAATTGAAAGGTTGGATAATTTAAATTGTTTCAGGCATCATTTTAAAAGTTTACCCATTTGGAATCTGTCTCATGTTTTTCAATACTTCCAGCCCCATAATTCCGCCATCGTATAATTCCCCGTTGTTCCATACATCTTCCAATCACCCCTAATAACGATGCTGTTGTGGGTGACAAACTCTATAATTCCTAGGAATATAATTTTTTTCTGAAAAGAGAGATCTGGATACACTAATGCAAACAGCTTTTCTAATTTTATAGAGGACAGTGTTATTGTTAATACTCAGTTATCAAAACCTACCCAGACATATTTTAAGACAAAGCAATCAATGCAAAAAAAACCAGTGAGTATTGCTTGTCAGTGACATGGTAATTTAAGATTTGTCTAAATTTAATAACCCAGAAAGCCACAAAAGACAGGACTGAAAGAAAAAAAAACTTACAAGCTTGATTTATTTTATCGCTGAAAAAATAAATTTTCTAAAACAAATTTTGTTCACTAGAAATATACCCAAAGACATATGGAAGAGAAGATACAGATGAACTTTTTCAGCTTCTCTACTTCTTATTTCTAAGATAATATTTTATCTTTAATGCCCTTTGAATTTTATCTTTGAGCTATTTATAAAAGTTTGATAAGTATTTCCAATAAGTCATTTTATAAAATAGATGCTTAAGATCAGTTTTATGGAGGTATTTCTAATAAGGAAGAAAAATTAAGTTATTAGTAAGATGATTCACCAGAATATAATTGGAACACTTTATGTAACAGGCGAACACTACTTTTCATTAATTCCTGTATTTTAATACATTAAAAAACTTGTGTGTGCCTTCTAGCTCAAAAAGCAGTTCCTTTATAACCTGCTGAGTAGATTATACATTATTTCATCTCTTAAAGTATCTCTTCTGTCTTGCTATGATATATATGCATATTATATGATTACATACTAACATATTGTGTTAATATTTGCTGTTTATACACCAAAAAGTCATTATCTGCTCCCAAAATTTTGTGTACCTAAATAAGAGAATGTATTAGAATGATTGTAAACTGAGAAAATGGAGAGAGAGGCTTTATAATTCCAGATTAAATTTTAAATAACTCTGCTAATCATATCTCTGCTACATATCTGTTGTAATACTGGAGAGAATATTCACATTTTCTTTAATTGTGACTTTTTTTTATATGGAAAGTTGGGCTGTAATGTAAAAGAAATCTGAGCTTAAATTAACATTTTTAGCTTACGCATGACAACATATGTCTCCTTTTCCTTCACTTTTTCAGAGTGAGTTAATAGTAATAATAATTTAAAACAAACATTATATTTTATGAAAAAAAGTTCATATAAAAAAATTGGGAAATGCAAAAAAGAAAAAAAAAATACCTTAATCACCAATTATGTAAACCAGGCATATCTACTGTTAACATGTGGATCCCTAGTCTTTTTACTGTCTTTTAAAAATATGTCAAATCTGTTTAAAAAAGCAAATGCATGCATAAATATAAAACCATACAAAACATTATAAAAGGAAATGTTAAAATACCATTTCCTCTTGTCTTCAGGTCACCTCCATACTTCCTGTTCTTAGTTTTCTCTAGGATTGCCTTTACACATGTGAAATCATATATGCTTCTAAAGACTTATCTTCTTTAGACTGTATATTTTAATATATAGTTGAGGGATTTGTTCATTTTTGTCACATCCACTTTCCCTTTTCTTTGCAGCTTTTAATTTTTGCCTCCACTTTTAGTTCTAGCGGGATTGAGAAATTGCATTAAATTATCAAAATCTTTATGCCTGGAATTCATAAATCATTATATATTTTTAATTTCATTTTGAGATTTTATTTTCTAATTATTGAGGATGATAGTTGAGCTCTCAAGGAAGCTAGATTTTTATTTCTGCTAGTTTGCCCATAGCTAATAGGGGGTCTTGGAGCATCACATACATTCTGTGGCTCTTAGGTTGTTTACTTTTGAAGTGTCAGATGTGAATTAAAGGTCCCTTGTGGCTCTAAAATTTTACTATTTGTGAGATGTTATGAAGAGAACAGCTCTTAGTCAGCTTGTTCAGTTGAAAGACAGTCATGGAGACTGAAAGGTTACCTGTAACACCCAAAGTTTCTAACTCATTTTTTTCTTTTGACTTTAACTTCAATTGGCTACACACACACACACACACACACACACACACACACACACCCATCCCAAAGTGGAGGCACACACTCTTACACTCTTAGGAAGTATATTATAAATAATGATAATTCAGTGGTGTACTAGAGACAGTTTGCACTGGCTTATGAAGAGCCAGCTGTTGAATCATTTTCATTTTCAACTCTCCATTGGGGGTCATCACATTGATAGGTTGAAATTGGCCACGGTAGAAGTATTTATACCCTAAAAATTAGCAAACCTTTCAAATTAGTTTTTCTTCTTTTTAAATCCATAGATCAAGTATACAGAAAAGAATTAACATAGCAGGCCTGTGACTGATATCCTTAGAATGGCCTGCTTAAGAACGGCCTTGATTACTGTCTGGATTGTTGGATTTGGGGAGGGTTCTCACCATTCCCTAACTTTTAAACCTTCATTGTGCCTACACTGTGCAAATTGGAGATTATAGGGAACACCTACTTTCCTTAAAGGGTGTTGATATTTGCTGGGCAGAGGAAACTTGATACATGCTAGGAAGAGGGTGACTACTGATCAGTTCCCAATTAAAACCTTAGGAAGTTAGTTAGTCTCTAATGAGCTTTGTGGGTATGCAATATTTCATATATGTTGTCAGAATTCCCTGTTGGAAGAATTACGTGTGTCTTGCATGACTGTATGGGAGAGGATTTTGGAAGTTTTCTTCTGGCTGCCTCCAGACTTTCCCCCATGTACCTTTTTCCTTTGTTGATTTTTCTTTGTATGATTTTGCTGTAACAAATCATAGCACTGAACACAACTTATTCTGAGTCCTGTAAGT